TTCGGTTTCCTGTATTGTGGCGACTTTGCGTATCCACACTAAAAATATAAATTTGTACTGTGAGGAACATTAACTTGATATTTTCGTGATTTCGTCGAGTAAGTTAGCCATTGTAGACTTGGCGACCAGCAGGCCAAATTGTTATGTTTTCACGTCTAGTTTACATACCAAATAGGTCGGACATGCCCAGGAGTGGAGTGAAATAATTAAGTTATAAATATTAATTTTGATTCTCAGGTTTATTATCCATTACACATTTAACACACCCCTAACGCGCACTTGAACCCCCCCTAAATAATTAAGTAACGATTGAACCCCCTCTCCAATTACAAGAAATAAAAATTAATTATATCACAGAAAAAATGTGGTAATTTTATTTGTGTTATACTTTAAAATTTATGACAATTAAATTTAGAATTAATTGGCGATGCCGAGTACACCTTACAATCAGATCTGGTGTGTGAAGGAAGGACGCACAGAAGTGAAAATTTCTTGGAAGCTGTACACATGTCTTGGATGATGCAAGAGCGACAACCTACTACACCAATTTTATTGGATTCTAGAATTTTTGATAGACCAGTTTTCAATATCTACGTAATCTTACAGTTTCAATAAAAAAATATGAATACTTACATTCATTGCAACAAATTATACATAAAAACTTTAATTTACTCATGTTTTTAAAACTTCATTATTGTTTTAATGATTTTGAATACGCCAGAAAAAAATAATTGTTTCGCCAGATGTCGAACAATTAAAAATAAATCGACGTTAAGTAAAAGTAAACTAATACCTCTCTACCCCCAGGTAACGCAGCCTCTTTAGCGTTACGTAATTTAAGGACGACCCCTAAGAAGGAAAAACAAACAATTTCTATACCCAGCCGTCAGCAACTAGAGGTAATAGGAATATAGAATTATATTTCGACATGCTAAAGAAACATTGCATAGTGGTTTCGGCGCCTTCTGTAGGTGGAAACTACCTAGCCTGAACTTGCTTCCAATTAGCTGACCATTGGCTAATTTTTGTAAATATAAATAATTACTTAAAAGTTTAAAATTTTAATAAAAATCAATTGCAGATATATGACTAGCATTTGCTTGCGCTACGTTAATCTCAAAATTTCTCGCCTAACGCTCTTCAGGCTTGAACGATCGCCCATTGAAGGGTCATTCGCTTCAGACCACTATGCAATGTTTCTATAATGAAGCAACATTGTCAGAGTCACGTTTTGAACGTGTTCATTAGTCATGAGCACATTTCACGCATTAGCTGCTTCATGAATAGTTAAATTTCCTTTTGGTTTCTCGTGTATTAAATTTATCCATAGACTTGAGTTCCCTTTCCACATGCCCCTTCATTTCCTATTCAAGAATTTTGTGCCCTCCTCAAAATTATTTGGAACCGTTTGAGAGAAAAAGGAAAAACTAGTGGTGCTAAAACAGCACGTACTTTTTCGCCCTTAGTAATCGTTAATTGATTAATTGCTTAGCGATTCCGGACACACCAACTACCAGGGTCATTAGTCCCGAAAGTGTATTACATGTATTTTTCGGGAGGTGGCGGTGATCTTTCCCCCTCTGTATGGCGAGATCCTACCGTCTGCTACCGGGGTTTTTCTAACGAGGAATCTTCCACCAGCAGAACAAGCTCTTAGCTCTTGACGGGTCTCCCGGCATGTGTGGTAGTGTAGTGCTTGTTAGTGTAAGGGGTGAGGATACGGCAAGGAAGAGGATGGTAAGGTCGCGCGCGGTCCATGGCCTGTTTGCTAGGACACTGCTCCCGCATTCACCTGGCGTTGATCGAAGAAACCACGGTAAACTACCGATTAGAGCAGCTGGCCGCTAGAATTCTCCTCCAGACTGCGACTTAGTAATCGTCTCCTATTATTTCAGTAGCATAATATCTTTTGCGGCTCTCGCACGCAATCACTCTTTATAAACGAGGTCTTTAAACAAAGAGGATTCCACTTTGACTTTAAAAATGTGAAGGATTTGTTTAAAAAACGCATATAAATATTCATGTCAAACGTAACCCGCAGCACTCTTACAGAATGTATCGTTTAATACCTCTGAAACGAAGCGTTCTACGGCCTTAATATCTTAAATTTTGGAGCTTTCCTTGCCCGTCAGAAATTCAGGTACAAAAAACAGCATCCCTCTCCGAGAGAAGTCGGGCAGCCGCAAATCGGAGGTGATCGACCTAAATAAAAGGGTAGGAGGTGGCATCGCTGAAGAGCACATGGTAATAGATATTTTCAAACCAACTTTTAAGCGATTATTGCGGCTCAGCCATTCGTAATATCTGAAGAGTTTATTGGACAGAATATGCTTAAAATTGTCTTAACCTTTTAAATACGAATGAGAAAGAGGTTTCCCAGAGCATTTCAACCCAGCCGTACGAACGGGATACTTTGGGCTTGACCTCCAGAGGCGCGCGTCGGTTCTTATCTATCGCTTGCTGACGGATGGCAAGCCGCGGTGCGCCGATTCTCACGCATCGGAGCTCCGGCCTACGCTATCAGGCAGGGATGTGTTGATGGAGTACGGTCTTGCGGCGGGAAGAGCGAGCGTGGGCTCCTCTGATATTTCTTGCTTTTACAGTGCGCCGCAGCTCGTGAGACATAGGGGAATATTGATCGCCAGTTAACCTTCGCTTCGAGACGCCATTCGAATATAATAATAATAATAATAATAATAATAATAATAATATCACATACCACACTAACAACAGTATAAATTATTTATCATTTTATAAAGGAATTTGGTTGTCGCATGGCATATACGTATAACATCCACTAATTAGTTCCATAATATATTACATTAATTTCATAGGTAATAATTCAATTGTGCTAGAAATAAATTTTTCTAAGTAGGAGGTAACAATGGGGTAAACTCATGTTTATAGCAATGTAATAAATTTATTGATTTTATATTTTGTTATGTATTGTTTTGTATTATTTGCAATGTCCTAATAGTTTATTGTTTTGTTATAAACCATCGTCCTCGTGCTATACAAATATCTTTTCAGCCTAACAAAGCTTCTCTTTTGTTAGGGCGCCTTCTTCTTTAGTCCCTTGTACTTATATGTAACGCTTCACTGTGTACCACCTCCCATCATACACCATAGTCCAAACAAACCCGCCTGGGCCCACGCTACTCATGGGCGATCGCAGTCGCGTTTTGCTTTTGCTAAATATTCTAAATATAAAGGCATTGTTTACATGAAATGCAACCTTGTGCGGACAGGGAGGGTGGCGTAAATAATGAAAAAAAGTATAAAAAAATAAGAAAGAGTATCATTGCCCAAAATAAAATTACTTAATTTTGCAGAGGAAAAGTTATAGTGTTACTTAGTTAATGCCTTTAAATCTCTACCAAGAAGGACTTTCAACACTGGGAGGGTAGCTGTCAACACTCTCCGAAGTTAAACCTCCACTGGGGTCAAGCAAATTCGTCTATTTAAAAAAGTCCGTACCGCACGGAGTGCAGAAGGAAAAAAAGCTCCGTAGCTAAAAGGTTAAGCGCTTATTTTCGAAGTTTCGTCATTTCCTCCCTGGAGACGCTGTATTTATCGATAGTTTGATTTCTATGTACTTTGCACGATACAAACGAAAACGTGTTCATTTATTCAATTTTTGATTAAGGATAATTGCATTTTGATGAATTAAATTGAGAATAGGCATTTAAACAAAGTGGCATTTATTAGTGAAATACGATTTCGTAGGCTTTACAAAACTTGCGTATAATACTCGTAATACCTCAAAATAAGTAACCTAAAAGATTGCGTTTTCCAAAAAGGAAAAAAAAAAAAATAAGCGAAAATCCGCAGCTTCTATATGAAAGGGTAAAATACCAATGTGAACAGTGCTCTAGTACCACCAGAAGAAATCCTTGCACATGTACTTCATTAATCATTTCATTCGAAACGCATTTGCCCGTCAGGAACGACGTACGCATTCTTATGGCTAACGTCAGTTTCCTACAACGCTGCAGCGCGCTGGTGTGGCACGACCTGTATGGGTATGCGATCCTCCTGAGCTACAAAGGGCGCCCTTTAACGATAGTCAATGAATGCTCGCATAGCGCTAGCATTACAGCCCCTCTGCCTCCGAAATTCAAAGAAGGACTTCTCATCGCTCGTCTCCCTTGCGAAATCCCGGCGGCTGATGTCGCCTTTTCCACAGTCTTGAGGGTAACATTGGGTGACTTTTGATCTGGAAGGTTACTATTGTACTTTCTCGCATACGTACACAGTATAGTACAGCATGCAGTATAGTAATCTAGTACGCAGTACGGTAATGTAATATGCAGTATAATAATGTGGTATGTAGTATAGTAATAAAGTATAGTAATCAAGTATAGTAATCAAGTATAGTAATCAAGTATAGTAATCAAGTATAGTAATCAAGTATAGTAATCTAGTATAGTAATCTAGTATAGTAATCTAGTATAGTAATCTAGTATAGTAATCTAGTATAGTAATGTAGTATAGTAATCTAGTATAGTAATGTAGTATAGTAATCTAGTATAGTAATGTAGTATAGTAATGTAGTATAGTAATGTAGTATAGTAATGTAGTATGTAGTACATACTACAGGAACAAAAAATAATTACTTTCTCCAATGCGTAGTGAACTCAGAATTCATGTTTTGTGGTTCCTTAATAATAATAATAATAATAATAATAATAATAATAATAATAATAATAATAATAATAATAATAAAATATTTCGGCTAAGCGTACGTCCGTCTGTTCATCCGTCAGATAAAATAGAAGGGCCTAAGGCACTTACAGGATTTTATTCTAAAATGAATATTCTCCTGACCGGGCACGTCCACTCGCCCTCCAATTTAGAAAAGAACTCGTTGAATAGAAGCTCATTTTGAATTGAGAAAGATTAGAAGCAATGCTATTATAAATTCATTGCGAGGAGAATCATCCGCTTTCGGCCTCAGCCAAATACACTACCGCATTTTCAATGCTATTGCAGGGTATTACTTAGAAGTCGCACAGTCCGCTCGTTGGAATATTCAGACGGGGCTGGCCTCTCTTCACAGAACTGTCCCAACCCGATGACACACACTCCCACCAAGGACGGTCCAGCCCGGGCCTGTTGTAAGCGTTGGTTGCAAAGAGCTACTTCGATACAGAAAAATGTTCCACAGTCAACTGGAGAATGATAGGGAGCCCTGTGTTTAATAGAATGCGATTGTTGTGATCTACCAAGCTGCGAAAGCGCCTTCCAGATCAATACCGACATGCTCGAGAGGAACCCCGTAGGATATCGTGGGCGTTGCGCTAGTGCTACGGCCGATGCTAGTTGAGGAAGCCGGGTCAACACGTGTTCCAGTACCGCTTGTCCAGGCAGAGGACAAGATCATACAAACCGAGAAAGAGATGGAAGGTGCACCTTCACAAACAGGATCTGAAGGTTGGACTGAATCTCAATTCCTTGAGAAAAGATGTTGGCGGCCGTATTATTTTCAAGCATTTCACCAATTCTTTGAAGTTATTTAAGAAAAGAACATATTTCAAACGTCACGCCTTCGAGATTTGCCCCCCCCCCCCACAACCCGCGAACTCTCTCACAAGAAGCAAGAACTAACTTTGTATGCAACACTTTGAAACTGACTTTGAACTCCTAGCGAAAGTGGCCAAGAGATCGCGCCTATCCCTGGGCGCAGAACCGAGCAGCATGGGATATTGTCGGCAAAGTCCGGGAATCAAATGCCTTTCCAATAACACGAGACGAGTTCACATTGTTTGACAATCTGGAGCCGCGAACATTTTCGTAGCGTTCCGCCTCGCTCCCGTACAGCCGCACTGAAAGTTGGTTTTCTACGTTGGCAAGCATTCCTAGCATGATAATCCAATATCCGTGCACTGGCGGCTTGTAACGCCAAGAAACGAATATAATCCGTTTTCGACCAGACAATACATGATAGGGAACCGTCAAGGCATCAACGCCAAGTGCACGGGAGCTGTCGATGGCGCAACCTCTGACGGATAGGGTAACTGTGTTTCTCACAAAGAGACAATAGAGTTATGGAACAGGCAGAAAATTCCACGTAAGCAGAACCATCGACTCCAGCAGCTAATCGGGCACACGTAGCTTCAGCGACATCACACGGTGAACGATGCAACGTATCTCGGTTTTTTTCGTTCAACGACGCGCGTATGCGTACTTGACTTGGCACTTGAGCTTGGTGATCATTGGCAGAAAATGCCTTCAAAGGTTCTCTCATTGACCGCGTAATGTTGAAGCTAAATGAGTTCGACTAGTGGTCGATGCTTTTCAACATCCAACCACCACCACCACCACCACCACCACCACCACCACCACGGGAGTCGAGTCTCCTCATACATTCACTGTCATGATCATTATGACTTCGGTGGTTTAACGGTTAGCGTATCGAGCTGATATACTCGCTTCAAATCCAATCGCAACCAGGTTTGCAACCGGAGTGAGAAAGTATTTCGTACCCTTCTTTAGGAGGGGAAGTAAAGCCGGCTGATCCAAGTTGTAGATTTACTGCACATAAAGGATCCTCCAGGCAAAAAGGCGCATCTGCGCTAAATTTCATAATCGGAAGCGAGAAAGTAAAAAGGGAGACGTACCTGGTAGGTGCCGATCTTGTTGGCCGTGTCTCCGTTGGCGGCGACGCGGTCGGCGCCCACCACGACGGCCGCCAGGCGGCGCGCGCGCATCAGGGCCGCCACCATGCTGTCGCACAGCAGCGTGGCCGGGATGCGCTCGTGCAGCAGCTCGTAGGCCGTGAGGCGCGCGCCCTGGTTGTACGGCCGCGTCTCCGTGCAGTACGCGTGCTCTGCCAGTCAACACACGCACATTCTAGCAATGCACCTGTGCCCAACAATCTAATTAACGCATTTGCTGCTCTCGCCGATTGATCGGTTATTCCGGGTGCGTCAATTAAGGAGGTCAATATTCCCGTAAGTGTAGTACATGTTTATCGCGGGAGACGGCGGTGATCTTGCCTGCTGGGGGGGCGAGATTAGACGCCGTCCTTCGTACGCTTGTGGGGAAATTCCCTAACAAGGTATCTCCACCTGCAGATCACCGCCCCACCGGGAACAAGCTCTATACTCCCAAGTAGTCTCCCGTACCGATCAGAGCAGCGGTCCGCTAGAATTCTCCTCCAGACAGCGGCTGAATTCGCCTTAACTATGAAGCCCTTCCACCGTGGGGAGCGGAACCCTAAGACCTCCCGGTCAGAGGCACTGCAATGGTATCAATAGCTGCCCTGAGCCACTCAAGCCGGTGCCCTCCTGGACGGAGGTGACTCGAAGTAAGAGGCACTCCAGGCTCCCTTCTCGCTCAGTGGCGGCGGCCTGCGGCGCTAGCAGCCGACATTTTCGCCATTGGGATACAATACGTTTCATTTGTGTGATTACTCTCGCGTGTCGTAATCCTTTAGTGAAAATACTTGCGCAAGAACTTCAAAAGAGAGAAAGTGTGTGCTACAGCGGATGGTAGAGAGCGTTTCCCCCTGCCGTTCGTCAACATCTACAACGGCTTCACGAGAAACCCATTGGGCGAAGTAACCGCTTGGCTGTTTCATAAAGACAAATTTAATAAAAAGGAATAAATCATACAAACGTTTTTCCGTCAATTAACTTTTAAACAGAAACTTCCGTCAATTAACTTTTAATAGTTGCTCATCCCACAAAATAAATTGAGCGACGCTGACCGGTGTACTCGTGGGTGCGCTTGTTGGGTTTTATCTGGACGCCGATGCTCGCCTAGAAGATATCTCCGTCCGCAATCCCGAACTATCCTTCACCCACACCAAAAGGGCCTGCCACGCCTCAGGGCCAGAGAAGCAGCCCGAGGGAGAGCAATTACTTCGTCGCGCATTAACTTCCGTAGCCTTTTCACCAGCAATTGTGGGGGTTCCGGGAGATGGAGGTGTCCTTCCGCCGCTATGTGGAGAAGCAGAGCTGACCCACACATTCCCGACATGTGCGGCAGGGTACTGCAAGTAAAATGTAAGCGTGGGCGTGTTAAAACGGGTGAGAAGAGGACAAGAAGATGAGGGGAAAGACCGCGCGTGTTCCCAGGCCCGTTTGGTCCCTGATCCAGCGTTCCCCTGGTGTTGATGGGAGAAACCAGGGAAAACTACCGATCACAGCAGCCAGGCGAATGCGGGAGCAGTACCGTAACAAACGGGCTCCGGACCGCGTGCGATGTTTCCTTCCAGATTCTTGCCCTATCCTCACCCGATATTAACATATGATTACTTTCATGCGCTACCACGGAAGTCTATTCGGGAGCTTAGAGCTTGTCCCGGCTGGGGCGGTGCCCCGAAGTTGGGAGATACCAGGTTGAGGAAAACCCGTTCGCGGACGGTAGGTCGGCGCTGAATTTCACCATCCAGCAAGGGAAGATCACCGCCACCTCTCGAGGAAAACGTGCTCTACACTTACAGGACTAACGACCTTCGCAGTTGACGCGCCTGGACGCATTAATCAATGAGCCAGAGTCCTGCAAGCTACAATACGAGAAACCCACGCAATCCTCAGGAGGCAATTCGCAATGAGGCTACGCATAGCAAAGCAAAGTGTGGGGCACCTTGTCGCTGTAGAGAGCGTCGCTTCAACCGATGACTTAAGACATAACTATTCTCGTCGGGACATTTCAGTATAATATTGTTCTAAATGTATATGCGTTGTAAATTTTTGAACTGTTTGTTTCATGCGTTTTTCATGTGTGTTTTAATGGGGGGGGGGGGCAGCGAGTCAAAAATATACTACTGATTTACGTATTTAACAGTTGCAATCTATTAATTACACTTTCCATTCCCCAACATAATATTCTTAAAAGTATATTTTTTTTACATAACGTTTATAAGCGAGCTTGACTGACATCAATTGCAGAGAGACTGTTTTTCTGCAAAAAATTGTTATATTTTCAAAATTAAATCCTTCTCCTTGGTTACCTTCAGAAGTCACTTAAGTTTATCCAATTCGATAAATCTTAACTGAAATAAATGTTCGTAATGCATAAGGCGTTAAAATTAAAGGGCATTATTATTATTATTATTATTATTATTATTATTATTATTATTATTATTATTATTATTATTATTAGGCAGCCTCTTAGTTACGCCTATGAAGCTAACTAGCCTTTGGAGATTAGCGCTTTGAAAAAATTTCTTTCCGGTGCAGCCATTTCATTTTGACACCTACGCCATAACTCAGTAAACAATATCATTCCGTTTCACTGACTCAATTTCAATGTTCGTCTTCCTCTCATAGAACTGTCAAGAGTGGTTTATCGGGGAGGTGTCGGAACATTTGAATAGGGCTACTGTAGCTAACTGATAAAAATTAATTTACAGCGGCTGCAGAATAAGCACAAGCTATGGCGCTGGCCTTGAAGCGGCGGGCGCTACCGCGCACGCAGGGGTGGGGGTGGGGCCCTGGCGTGAACAGGGTGGGCAGTCGTTTCCTGGGGCAACTTTCCCAGTCATTTCCCAGCTTGTCAGTGCATTTTAAATTTTTTTCTTTGATTAGATACGTAGAGAATTTCATACTATCTTTAAAAAATACTGAAGCAAACCAGTTATTAAAAAATCAGCTCTCTGATTTCACCGAGATTTTTTTTTAACTCAAAAAATTCAAATTGAGACACTATTACTTGGACCATTTTTTATGGAATAAAATCTACTTTCATAGCTATCTCAGAATTTTTCCAGCCTTCTAATGAATATTCTACAAATTCCCTAATTTCCGACTTTTCAGATTAAAGAAATTCCCTGATTTTTTTTCGGTTTTTCACGTTTTTCAGAAATTGGTCCCCCAGATTCTTGAAGTCAGCAGTCACTCACTAATAGGTTGCCGCTGGAACACAAGAAAACAAGACGAGCGACCGAGCTCCAACATAATTCTCTTCACAGTCACTCCTCACTTCCATAGCAGATCGCTACGTCATTCGGGCAACTTCTCCTACGACCTGCGCTTCGCTTTGGGACCTCAACCCACTGCTCGACCCTTTACCGTCACTTCATTAGACAGCTTCAGCAACGTGCGGATTGTTAAAAGTAATGTTGTATGTTCGTTTTGGCAAAATATAAAAATTTGACTTTGCTCTCCGGGAGAATGGCCGACTAGACGTGATTCCGGCTTCGAGGAGGGAGGAAGGAAAGCTGACCCACCCACTTGGCGCTCGCTCCGAACATATTTTACACCCCCCCCCCACACACACACACTCCCACGTCCACCCTCACCCACCCACCACACACGTATTCCAGGTGTTCATATTATGTAGTTCTATTACTAAATTAAATTGTATTATCGTTCAGCACCCTTTTTTATGTGGCAAAAATTAAATTAAATATTCATGTTTGTTACAATTACGTAATTATTTAAACAATATTTATGGAAAGATTATAAATATAAAATGTAATAAATATATATTTATTATTTCACAACAGAAGAGCCCCCCCACCATCCACCCCATCTGCTTCAGCCCCTGACGGCCCACGCAAGGCACCACTTTTGGGTTTGTAATGAACCTGTGAGAGAATGCCTCAGCGTTGCTTCCGCAAACCCAACGCGCGCCTCTGAATTCCCTCTCACCCAGCAAGCCCCGGCTGTGCAAATTCCTTATTATGCCCAGCGCCGTGCCGTAGCCGGACGTGGCCAGCGACCCCGTGTTGCAGTGGGTGAGCACCCGCAGCTGGGCGTCGCCGGGCCACTGGCTAATCAGCGCGTCGGCGCCCACGCGCCCGATCGCCAGGTTGTCGTCCAAGTCCTTCTGCAGCATCGCTTCGATCGCGTCCAGGAATCTGAAAAACCACCACGGATTACATAGCTCTTCGTAGACTTTTTACACGGCACAGTTATCGTGCAGATTCTCATACAGAAACTTCAAGATCCCAAATTAGTAAATGTATAAGAAGCCAAAAGTCGTTTTACAAGAGTACACGTATAGGTTCGAGTTGCCAGGAGACGTCGCCAGGGGCTCTGCCGACACACAAATGAATTGCCGAACTCCGCCGTCGAGTGTGATTCAGTAACCTCACATTTGCTAGAGGCAGTAAAATAAACTTGCCAGAAAACCCGAGAACTCGAACCCGCGGCTATGCCAATACACAACCCTCACATAACCTAACCAAAAAATTGGATAGGATGGACGATTTTCGCCGTTAAATCCGTTAGTGAAGGATTCTGTCACCAGAGGCGATAGAGTAAAATTGTACGTTTAATGCATGAAAAAAATAGAACATGCTCAAAAGTTTTCATGCAGATATCGTGCAGTGTGGTTTGCACGCTTTCTGTACGTTTAATTTGCACGAAAACTGTACCATGTCAAAGGGTCTTCAGAATTTAACTATCACATTCCAACTAGTGGTGCTAAAGAATGGCACTAACTAAATCGGGCTAGGTTACTCATCTTTTCACTCTGGGTTTACTATTCGGTTTTGATTCATGCTCTTTTCAGCTGCCACCTAATGGCGGAAAAAAGAAGTTTTTTTTAAAATTTCATTTTCTCGCCCTTTACCGCTTACGTGATAGAAAGATATGGAATGCTGCGTGAAAAAATGAATTTTCGGCAGAAAACCTTATTACAGGGCCCTGGAAACGGAAAGTGTATAAATCCAGAGGATACATGTAGAAGAAAAAAAATACTAACATGTGGTGTAGCCAGAATCCATGTTTTGTGGGTCGTTGATAGAGAAAAATCGATTGACGGCAAATGTCTGTGAACAGCGCTTGCGACTAAACCATTCAGCCTATTTTCTACAAAATTCATATACCCCAATCGATATGATGTCGCGAAACCTTGGATTTGAAACCGATATTAATTTAAGGGGTACTTTACATCAAGCTCCTAGGATATTAAAAAAACCCTCGAAAGTTTTGATTATACTTTGTTATTGGATAGTATAAACGACGTTTAAGACAAAGTCTCATGATCGTTGTTAACTCTGAATTTTCGAAAATTAAAAATCGGCGTATTCTTACATTACAATACGAAGATTAACATTTTTTTCTTCATGAAATTTGTTAATGAAAACACCTAAAAATGTCATGTTCAATTTTTTTGAAAATACGGGTATTTTGTATGAAATTTTCTGTCTAACGCAGGCAATTTTGGCAGTCTAATTTTTTTCTTAAGAAAAGCACAAAAGGTTCGATTAAATTGAGACCTTAGATAGTGTAAGAAAGCTTAAGAGTTGGGTCTCATGTTCGTTAAAATGTCATAAAATGTAAGAAATATTTATTTATTATTTCACAAAAACAGAAAATACTCCCTTCCCCCAACTATTCCAGTCCCCGACCGACAGCGCAAACACACGCGGGATCACTTTTGGGTTTGTCGAGATCACTTCTGGTTGTCGACACCACCTTTCAAAAGAAACACACTTTTAGCAATAGAAACTCCACCTGATAATAAGAGTATTATGTAAACTTCACGCCGTATCGCGACGTTCCTAATGTTATACTGCAACTTCGTAACTAGAGTGGTCAGAGAGCGAATCTCAAATTATTGTACTTAAAAAAAATTGCATAAAAATATTTTCAATAGTAAATTATAATTATAGTTAAATAAAATTCGGCACCACCGCGCGCTTATACAAAAGAAACCATATAAATCTTAGAAATTAGAATAATGTTTAGGTTCAGAATGAAAAGCACAAATTAAAAAGTATTCCAAATTAATCACCTGGATATTACTTTGCACTTCGAACAAATGGTTGCAAGAAATCATGATCTTCCATGAATATTTGCAACTCTTAATATGCATTTACATTACAATATATCTATCTAAATTTTCTCACATCATGTTCTACGATTTGTAATATTAAATTATTTAATTAGCGTACCAGTGCGAGAACTTTCACCTGTTGAATCCCACCCTAATTTTTCCTAAGGGTATCGTGAAACGGAAACGGAAATATGTAGTCCGTTTCCATTTTAGTTTCCTCTCCAATTAAATAAACAGCACTTGCAAAAATTTAATAGAATATTCAAGAATATCTTATCCTGTATATTTCGAAGTGAGAAAAGTTTGTTTCAGACCTTAGGCCTCAAAAGTTTAGTTATTAAGGCCCTAGAACGCTTGGTTTAGGAGTTACGACGGACGGACAGACGGACGGTCGGACAAATGGTTGCAAGAAATCATGATCACGGGCGGACAGACGGACGGACGGACGGACAGACGGACGGACAGACGGACGGACAGACGGACGGACAGACGGACGGACAGACGGACGGACGGACATTTTGCCGTCCATCGATTTTTCGGAATGGAGAATGCACAAATCATGGATTCTGTCTTCACGTGTTGGTGGAATTTTTTCCTAATATTTCAGCAACTGGATTTATACATTTCATTACCAGAGTCCCGCAATAAGAGATTTTGTGTCGAAAATTCGTTTTGAGGCGCAGAATTATATATTTTCTCTTTTTAGGTTAGTAAGTCGAGAAAATACCACAAGAAGTATCTCAAAGGATCAGGAAAATGCTCTCTACTTCCCGATCTCTGATCATAGTGATATTCTGTTCCTTACCTAGAGTACTATATATCTTCAAGATAAGTGCTCCCAGCGTCTTTCGCTAGACACAGATTTACCCAAGATGGGGGAAGTTTTCTTCGACAATAAATTCGTATTGGTTTCGAAATCTGGTACATGGCATATCATAACGTCTGCTGTTCCTGGTAAGCACGCTTGCTAGAAATCCAAATGGATCAAGATGCGCATTGCTAAAAGAGTAGATTCGTGAAGATTTCACGAAGTTCCGAAATGTATTTTTTGTCAGTTTTGTGAATAAATGGTAAGATGTGCCCGAAATATATCTTACAAGCTAAAACACTGCAAATCGTGCAAAGAAATGTGGAAAAAGTGAGAAAAACAAATGTAGCTAATATCTTATTTTCTTAAAATTTAATTTTTATTTATTTTGTTTTATTAAAAAAGCTTTTACTCATATTTCAACTATTTATAGTTAAAATGATGGGATGGGGTTTTGGGATTCTGCAACTCAAGAAAACGTGCGCAGATCTCTCTCATACTTCACACACAGGTTCTACTGTTTATTGACTAAATAAATCTAAAATCAAATTTGAAGTAATACCTTGTCGTAGAGAGATGCCAGCATAATTGTTTCATTTACCACTTTACATGTTTCTCTCTTTTCCATTTTACAAAGAGTTCATACTCTCTTTCCTATTAATTCTTCGATTTTGAGGAAGTAAACTCTCAGTAGCAGCTTCACCATCCTCAATTACAATTCTGGAATATTGCACTCCGTACATATGGAACAAATCGCTAAAACCAGCCGAAAACTACGCGCTTTAACAATTGTAACAGTACTGACAATAATGCCAGGCTCTGGCAATAATGTAGGCGAACATCTGCATATATATACGACGAAACCGCATGGTATAAATGAGAACTCTAAAAATTCAAATCTAAAATTGGGAGGTGAGTACACGAAAAATGGTTGTATGCAACTCGGACGAAACTAAATGGTTTTAGACTCTGTAAATCAACCCCAGCTCCGCTCCCCCTCAGTTGTTAACCCATTAAAAAACATTTTTCAACATCGTTATAGAAATAACTAATCTTGCTTTGAACATCCCATATTTTTATAAGGGAGATATTTACAAAAAAAGGCCTCGAAAATAAAACAAGAATTTTTCGAGCGTATAAGTTTAAAAAGGTTTATTTTACATTTTGTAATAACGTTTTTGTAGGACGTTTTGCCTACTTTAATTTTGTAGAGAGCGTAAGTTTCGGTAGAATTGATAGTAATTGAGATTTATGCAAAAACCGTAGAAAAACACCTTTAAACGCCCCTCCCCCAATTTTTTATCTCCCAGGATTTCCCCCTTTAATCACCAGTTTTTGGTCTATTTAGACTGCTCTAATATTGGAAAATACAACTCTGCTTAGAATTGGGAAAAGATCTTCTCACAAATTTTCGTGTGAACAACGGCCTAAGATAAGGGTGTTCATTAGCCCCCTCACTATTTACAATATATCTTGAGGAAATCCTCAAATGCGGAAAGAAGTGTAATTGGATGGGACTGCCTGAAAATGACAACATAGGTTTTCATATTCACAGCCATAGGTTGAGCATAAACTGAATAATTCATCTTTCCTTCTACTTCTTGACGAAGAATCCTTTTATCTTCAACAATTTTGTTCCTTAATTGAACAACTAAACTGAGACAACCCACAACGGAAATTGCAGGAGCACCACAAACCTATATATACACATGAGTATATTGCACTTTGTCAAAGATCAAGTTGTCATAGTGTGTAATGAAGATGATGGAAGCTATATGTTCTGCAAGAGTAGAAAAACTGTGGTCAGATTACTAACGTCCAAATATGGAATATAAGAAGATAAGGATATGGGAATCTAGATATGGTAACTGACAACATCAAACAAAGCAATTATGTCAAATATCTTGGAGTAAATCTTTCCTCGAATGGTAGAAGTGCAGAAAATGACAAGGCAAAAGAGCAATCCTGCAATTAAACATTGGTCAAGGCTGTCAACGGAAGATTGAGCATGGAGTAAGTTAAGCAAGAAATGTTTAAATTAATACAGCATGAGCAAATGCAAGTAATTTATCTCCAATTTTTTATTAAAATTTTAAACTTATAATTGTGAAATTCAGCATGCGAAAATTTTGCCCACAAATGGCACTATTTCTATACGTGACCACATTCAGGCTCTAGGGACCCAACCTAGGGACTAGCTGGTGAGTATGCTGTAGTGACCACAGCAAGCAGCCTTTTTATCATTCTTCAATGCCTCTTTGAAAAGATAGAGTCAAAATTGAAAATTATGTAATTGTAGGAAAAAGAGTAATTTTTATTTTGAAGGCAAACTATTTACAGTTCGCATTCAACAATAGTTAATTAGTACATACAAGAATTGTGAACCAACGTACATTTAACTCAACTGTGCAAACTTCCATAGTTAGCTGCCTGTCAGATTTTCAGGAATTAGCAGCCAAATTTGGAAGATAAAAATGCTCATGAAAAATGTCTATATAATTTAAATGTTTTGTGGAGTGTCATTAACAGTGTGTGCTCCAACTTGAAAAAAAATATAATTATTGCTATTCACCATTTTTTTGTTATAAATTCTGCCTAATAATTATGTTTCTAACTTTGGAAAAATAAGTGCTGCTTATTCCAAACTTTTTTCTTAACATTGTGGCTCCTGATGTTCACCCCCTTATTTATGAATAATGAAATATATACAACTTTTAAGATTATAACATGTATAAAATGTGTATGAAATGTTTAATATTTTTGGGATATAAAATACTACACATTATCCAAAATTAAAAATGGCAGAAAATATATAATATTGCACAACATTTAAATGTGATTTTACATGTTTATGTGCAATGTTTATGTACTGACTTACACAGAATCATTTTATTAATACACCATGTACCTAGTGAACCTTAGCCAATAACTTGGAAAGTAAATATTTGTCATACGGTATGGAAAAGGGCTAGAGTGATCAAGAACATTTACTAGCATTTCATGACAGCTACACCTTGATTCCACAGAATGAAATACAATAAACAACCTGACTGAGAAGAGATTGTTAGTTTTGCCAACAAAATGGCCAACCCACTCATACAAATTTCCAACTCATCACAACTGTGAATGGTTGTCTAGGGCTATTGAGATACAGACAACAGACTCGAACGAGATTTGCAATAGGAAGACAAAAGCAAGCAGGAAAGATAACAAGATAGAAAGACTGAATAAATGCGTGACTGATTGAAAAAATGAATGATATATGATTAATGGTAGATCTGAAGAACAAATGGTGAATACATTACTGCCAACATACGATATTTGAAACACAAATTAGACATCATGAAACAATGATGGATTCAGAAGTACATGTTTCACAAGAATGGATGCAATGCTGAATACTTATTGAAGGCTAATATCGACTGTCTCCTGAACAGGATCATGGACAATGTATTTATAACTAAACTACTTAGTATATGAAAATTTACATTAGCTTTTTAAGCAGTGGAATACAATCAAACCTATATCTTTAAGACCCAAAACATCTACATGAATGGCAAAAATTTTATTGTGTAACATTTTAAATGTGTATTTACATGTTTATGAAGAATGTTCTTGCACTGACTTGCACAGAAAATTATTAATACACCATACACACAATAAATAATAACAATAATGAATAAATAAAACAAAATAGTATTCAGAAGATTTACGCGTAAGAACACCAGTCTAGGGTTAAGATCCCTGCAGGCTAGATTCCCTATGCAAAGAATACTGATAACCTTACATTTTGTATCGAGTCTCAACTTGATATATTGTCATTGGTATCAGTCCGAAAAATGATTGAATATGTTTTTATAACCTTTTCAATGAAATCATCTTCAGTCCAGAACTTAATGAATGAGTATCCTGAAGGATTCCAAATTGGAATTTTAGAAAAATCATTAGTCCATTTAATATTCCATTAACAAAAAAACAATTTAATTAAGTTGACATGTAATTAAGTAGCAATTATTAATTTTTATGAAACTACAAAATAGTTTAGAAGACGCAGGAACCTTTGCAAACCTATCTTGACGTTAGGGAAGATTACGATATGAGGGACATCACAAATGGTATCAAGCCAGAAGATGCGGAAGTGATCACAGTAAGCCAAAGAACTTTAATCTGAACCATCCAGAATCATAATTATTGTACATAGGAAAATTAAATCACATCACTGATGAGCTCAGTATAAATTGTAAAACTATTATAATAAAAGCTAAATCATTGTTATTGAAAAAGAAACGCTGATAATTTGTAGTTAGTGGCCATCAAATTATATAACTCGATTCAAGAAATAGAACTTCCATGAATCACAATTCTATGCAGAATTTCATGTCCACATATGATAGGTTGCATGGCAAGACTCATGATCAAAAATAAAAGTAGGATTGTGAAAATGATTCAATCTTGAAAAAATTTACACACATAGCAGGGCAAAATAAAATAAAATATAATACAATATTGAAAAGTAATATCAGTCAAGCAATTAAATTAAGTAAATAAGTGAAAGTAAATAGATATTTCACAAATAGATTGTCCAAGTCAGGCAACAAAGATAATTGAGTATTAACCTAAAGTGTTTCCCAACTTATACATTTGTAAAATAAGTTAATATTATATTTATATATCGTAAAATTTATAGTTGGTTTTAATATTATTTTTAATTGCATTGTTCAATATTTAAATACTAAAATGAGGCCCCACAGTTTCAACATGCTTAGAATCCCTAAACAAATAAAACACATAAAATTGCTCCTCTGGCAGTACTCTAATACTGAACACAATATTAAGTAAATCCTAATAGAGATACACAACAACCATTAATATTACAAATAAGCTGGGAAACGAACATCCAAATTTTTTTAATGCTTTTAGTTTCCCATCTCACTTTCATAATCAATAACACATTTGTAATTGTTAAAGGAACACCACACAAATTTGTAATTCACATACATTCTCAATCAACTAACAATTATTTCTCTTGTTTCAATGAATAAATAATGTTAATGGTCAATTGTTGAGGAAAATTATTGTTGTGAATATTTCCCAATCACAAAATAAATTGCATACCTCAGTTTCATTTGCTCAGCAGTAAAAGAATTGTTTTTGTCCAATTCATTCACCAATTCTATTAACTGGTCGGCTGCTGCTTTCATATTCACAGCCGTAGGTCGAGCAGAAACTAAATAATTCAATTTTCCTTCTACTTCTTGACGAAGAATTTTTTTATCTTCAAATATTTCTTTCCTTAATTCAACCGCTAAACTGAGACAACCCACAATGGCAATTGCAGGAGCACCACGAACCTATAATATTAATAACCGTATTAAAACAGCTGAAAAATTAATATAATAAAATAAAAACAATTAAGTTTGAAAAAAGTTCTGTAATCCATTATAATAAAAAAGAAGGTAGTGAACTTCACAATTGTATAAAGTTTTCGATATCCATTCATCAAATATATTGACTCAAGACGTGTGGTAGAAGATGACTGATATTTGTTCTTCTTAACCTAATGATCTACTATAATATTTCAATAGAGATTGAAGAAATTGATTAATTGATGTAAACTACACAAGTTTGTTATATTCAGATCTTTAAAATTAAAATCAATAATTAAACGTAGGTACATCGGTAAAAGGTTATGTAGACGGTGACAAAAAAATAAATTACTTTTGAAATGATTAAAAAGTATGAAGATATACCTGCATCTTATGAATCACGTGCCAACCATCTTCGACTCCGTTTATATTTACATATTCGGTCTGAAGAGGCAAAAGAAGTTGGTCGAGGACTTCCAGCTTTCCATTTTCATATTTAATCGCTTTTAAAGTCATTTCTAAAGCACCAACACAATCACCAGCACACGACAACCTAGATGACACCGCTACACTGCTACAGTACTCGGCTGCACGAAACAAGCACGAGATATTCGCAAAATAGGGCAGCCTGGACCGATCAGGATTAAATCAATCCAGCAGGAAGCATGATACAAGTCACTGTATCACGACGGAAGGAGGTGTGATCTGATATCTCTGTGAATTCGCTGTCAAGCATGGTAGTACAAAAGATGAAATCTCACTAACAAACAGTGTCTTCAAAAAAAGAAAAAACGCTTTCCGCGTCACCGATTGGTGGAAACGAAATAGCGCATATTCGAACTTGAAAATTTTATGAGAATAAGTTCATCAGCCTCAAACAGAAAATAACCATTGAATTTATATCCCACTCGCACATAAAAATGGAAATCCATAAAAAATTAATACTTTTAAAATATTTGCTTAACCTCAACGAATCAAAACGATGTTAAAATTTCATTAATATTATTTAGAATCAAAAGAGGAATTACCATAAATTTACGATAAACTAGAGGTAATGCAGAATGGCGCAGACTTTTCGTACTTTAATTTCCTTCTTTGTTCAGTTTTGGCTCTTTCTGGATTTATCTCTACATCAACTCAGCTGCCATATACTGGCACCTAATAATAATAATAATAATAATAATAATAATAATAATAATAATAATAATAATAATAATAATGTCTTTATTAATGGCGAGGCTCAGGCCATAGGGCCTGCTCTTCCGCCTAACCTAAAAGACTTTTTTCTAAATTTTCCATAATACGAGTAATGGATTTGAAATATGACTTAAAGGACATTATAGGCAAAAAACAGGATACTACATGCAATTTTTCGTTGGAAAATTTTGGAGTCGTTATTGACAAAATGGCACTTTAAAATTTCTGAAAATACAAACATTGAGCTGTTTTTCACAAAAAACTTATGAGTTTTGGAAATACTTTATATAACGTTATTTGGAGCATTTGCACTCTAATTTGCAATCATGCGGAAATGTAAGTATTAACGACGTGAAAGATAAAAGAAAACATTTGTGTATTTAAAAACAACAATAAAATAATACATCAAAGTGGCGCGTGTATCATGTTATTCAGGGCATTTAGCACTCTCGGCACAAAAAATGTGAAGAAAAAAATTTGTGCGAGAAAATGGCGTTTGAAACTGCACAATTTTTGGCTCATTTTTATAGGAAAGTAAAAAGTTGTCGGAAAAGTTTATTAGACACAATTTATGCGCGTGTACTTACAGATGCAATGATGTATACAAATCGCTGTTAATATAGTATTAACCATGTGAGAGAGATATAGAAATATATTTTTGTATTTTTGAATAAAGAAGAAAAGAATAGAACAAAATGGCCTTTAGTCATCTTATAAAGTGCATTTAGCACTACCTGTATAAACAATTCCAAGAACAAATTTAGAAGTTTTTTAAATCTTGTTTTTAATAGTGCATTTTTAACTCAAAACTGTTCTAAAACATCTAAAATTTTCAAAATATGTATTCAACGTGAATAAAAGAATTGTGGGGAAATATTTCAATGAAGAAAAACTAGTTATCATCAATATTGTAGTTATAGGAAGACGCGAAAAAGTACAAACTTTTGTAACTTTCGAAATTTCAGGGTTAACAGTAAACTCGGACCTATACCACCATACATAAGTGTATTTTACTCCCTTCGTAGAAAAAATGTAAAGAAAAAATTTAAAGCCTTCTAAAGAAATTTTGAAAATGTCCCAGAGTCCCATGAAAACAACCCCCAAATTTTAAAGAACGTTTTTCAAAATCACAACGCTTCAAGTTGCACCAAATCGACCGGGATACAGCCAATTTGGAAAAAATCCTACGAATGGTTTAGGCGTTAGCGGTGTTCACAGTCAAACAGAGGCAGAGGCGGATGCAGCCGATCATTTCAAAGGGGGTCATCATAGATTTTTGTTAAACAATGAACATTTTTTACTTTCTCTTACTAACGAAAGAAGCGAAAGTATTGTAATCGTGTGCCGGAAAACGGCGAATTTTTGACACTAAAACTCGTACTGCCAGGCCCTGGTAACGAAAAAGTGGATAAATCCAGTTGCTAAAATATATAGAAAATAAGTCTTCTAACTCGTAGCGTAGCCAGAATCCATGGTTTGTGCGTCCTTCATACCGAAAAATCGATTGACGGCTAGCGCATAAACCGTTCAGGCGCTTTTCTCCAAAATTGATATTCCCCAATTGTTTCGAAGGACCCTGGAATATGAAAATGGAAATTTTGGAAAGGATGCATAAGAGAAAAGTGCAGGTTTCATTTTCTTGATATCCCCGATTTTTCAAAAAATTGAAAAAAAAAATTAAATCATGCCTTAAACGCAACGTGCCTTTTCATTGGCGGGGCGCAAAAAGGACGCTAAGCCATGCGGGACACACTGCCTGCAGCAGAAGGCAAACAGTCGGAGCAAAATCCCGGCCGATCATCACCCGTCTCGTCTGATTTTCTTTGTTCCGTTGTGTTGCGTTACAATCTTTAGTGCACACGTGACCTTCCTTCGACTGTGGAAACGCATCTAATGTGTTACTGCCTTCCGAACAATACAGTTTCACTCATTAATTGTACAAGCTACACACCATCCACGCGTGCAACTATCTTCACTCTGGCAAGTACTGCGCTTCCACGCCTAGTTAATCTTCTGTTTCACCTAGCACTACAATCTCAAGTGCATGCGCATAAAAAACTATTATCAATCCACTAATCACTACCCAATGTGTCTCATTAACTTAAACAGTTAGGAGTTGATTATCTCCAAACATGTTTCGCAACATGCGCTCATCCGTTCTACAATTGTTATTTGTAATTTCTGTAACCACTACTCCGCAGGGTTACACAGACTCACCTGATTACCTGATCTTTTTTTGATTCAGTGTTGCCCCAGCTGCTCCGTCGGTAGACTCCCTAGAGGGAGGCATGCGTGATAGTGCTAACTCTAATGCTATCACAACATTTTTTTCTGCATAATTTACAATCTGTTCCTATCGGAACAATAAGCAAATGGTGTCAACAGAT